GTGTTTATAAGCCTGAGTGGTCTGTTGACTGACTGTTCAAATAATTGTTATGGGCAAGTTACAATATAAAAATGTTTGTCATAATCACGTCTTGTGATTATTTGAGTTTTACTTTTAAGTGTACTTCAAGTACACTTACTTGTAAGTGTATTTAATTTAGATATCATGTAAATACAATAAAAATCAAACCAAGCTTTAGAATAATCATCATTTTGATCCGTACATTGGTAATGTCTGACTGGACCTCGTGCCACTTTATGTTCAACAAATTGTGCCCTGGCTTTATTTTGTTCAGATGCATTGACATCCTGGAGCTGTCTGAACGAATGGACCTGCTGAAGTTCCACTACCACACCTTGAAGCTGTACGGTTCAGTGTGCGCTCTGGGCAACAACCGTGTGGCACACGCGCTGTGCAGCCACGTGGACGAGTCCCAGCTCTTCTACGCCATAGAGAGCACCTACCTCCCTGGACCAATGCGGAGCGGTTTCTATGACCTGCTCATCAGCATGCACCTGGAGTCTGCGAAACGAAATCGTCTGGGAACCAACAAGGAGTTCATCGTTCCAATGACGAACGAAACACGCAGCATCACCCTSTACACCGCGAAGTCTCATGCTCTGCCAGGGGTCGGCCTCACCACGTGTCTTCGTCCCAAACTGCATTTCTCCTCCGTTGGCTTTGTGGGAACAGATCCAGACATTTACACACTGAGTCCAGTCATCCCTTTACAGGTGAGATTAGATTTTTTTTAGCACTCTGGGAGATTTATTTACAATACAATTCAKAAATCTGCWTMCATTTCCAGGTGCTAAAAACCAAGGCCCTGAACATGCTGATTGAAGCTGTACAAGATGGAAGTCAAGCCATGAGAGATCCCGTAGGAGGCAGTGTCGAGTTTCATTTCGTTCCCATCTTGAAACTCATCAGCACCCTCCTCATAATGGGTGTGTTTGACGACGAAGATGTTACACACATTTTGAAAATGATCGAGCCCACAGTGTTCCACACTTCAAAGTCGGAGGAGCCTGCTGACGAGAAGYCGAGCGAAGAGAAGGAACCGGCGAAAGCAGCAGTCGTCAAAGAGGAAGGGGTGGACASTGCTGAGGAGGAGGAGGATGAGGAGTTTGAAGAATATAGTTTCGATGAGGAAGAGTTAGAAGAAGAGGAAGAATTGGAAGAGACAGAATCAGGCTTGGCACACGAGGAAGCTGTGGATTCAGATTTAGTAAARGGTGAGAAAGGAGCTGAAGAAACGGAGAAAGAAACAAAACCTGACCCTGAAACTAAAGAGGAGCATCTAGAGCAAGGACTCTTTCAGATGAAACTACCAGAATCTGTAAAATTACAGGTACTATAAGAGCTGAAGTAAATTTAAAACTTTTTTCTAAGTAAATGTTTGTTGTTTGATGGAAGCTGTTAGTGATTCCATTTTCTTTTGGCGATCAGATGTGCACTCTGCTGCAGTATTTCTGRGACTGCGAGCTGCGACACKGAGTGGAGACCATCGCTGCCTATTCAGACAAGTTTGTCACCCAGATCCAGTCCAACCAGCGGCAGCGCTATAACGACCTGATGATGGCCTTCACCATGTCAGCTGCTGAGACTGCCCGCAAGACCCGGGAGTTCCGCTCGCCGCCACAGGAGCAGGTAACTCACACAAACACACAAGGCAATATAAATGATATTGTCTCCCTTTCAGCATTTATTTTGTAATGCAGTTTAATAAAAAAATAACTTAAAGGGAGACAATATAATAAATTAAGAACTTTAGTGGGACTTGTTTAGAATGGGCATCATTTTTTTCACTTTTAAAAGAAGTTATCAGTCTGTTTTTAGGGTTACTAGTTTAATTGTGTGAATGCTTATTAAGTATTCACATTATTAAAATCATTTTTATTCCTGATGTTTTTTTGGCACATATACATCAAAACATTCAGCTCCATCAGGAAATTTCATCTCTGACTTTTGCTATTTCAGCAATTTTTACTGTTCAAAATAACCAACTTTTCCTGCCTTGTTTTTCCATWTTGACAATAAATGAATGTTTTCAACATCCTTAAAACCTTTCAAACAAATCTTTACTTTAAATGTTTATGTTTTGTTCTGGTTCAGCTTTATTTACTTCTATGCTAATTTTAGCTTCCTTTGGTTTCTATTTAGCTGATTTTAGCTTTTATTTTAATTTTTTAGCTYTCACTTGACCTTTTCTGTTGTTCTTCTGCTAATTTCAAATTCCTGTGCTTCTTCCAGTGTCTTTATGCTATTTTATGTTTTTTATGCTAATTTCAGCTGCTTTCTGCTAATTTCAGCTATTTTCAGTGTTTTAGCTAGTTTTTAGCTATTTTAGTTTTTTCAGCTAAATTGATCATTTTGTGATTTTGGCTTCTTACTGCTTCATTTAGCAAATGTGCTCCTTGTTTCTTTGTGCGAATATCAGCTACTTTTTAAAGCTATTTTTATCTAGTTTCAGCTTTTTTTAGGTATTCAACAAGAGTGTCAGAGTTCACACTGCATTTTTGCATGAAATCAAATTCTCTAGTTAGTCTCTCAGTTAGTTTTTATGGTTTGACTTCCTGTCATTATGAAGGTAAACATGCTCATGAACTTCAAGAACTGCCCTGATGATGAGGAGTCCCCTGTTCCAGATGATGTCCGAGAGTCCTTGCTGGCTTTCCATAATACTCTTCTGACACATTGTGGTCAGTTTTTATTCTAATAATATAAAATGGAAACACTTGCTCAGTGAATGGCACAAAACACTGTGTTTCAATGCATTTTTTTCCAGGCGTTCATATTGAAGAAGAAGAACAGGAGGAGYAAGTGGATAATTCTCTTCGCGGACGTTTGCGTCGTTTGCTGGAAAAGGTGAAAAAATTCCGGAAGAAGAAAGTAGACATGGAGCCCGAGCCACAGGAAGATAAAAAACCGAGTGAGCTTTTTCATCCCTCTCATGATATGACACCATATGAWACAAATACTGTTGCAAAAGCTGTTCTAGTATCAGTACAAAACAGGTTAAACTTGTTTTATTGGAGCAAAAGTCTCCTTTTTCTTCAAGGTTTGTGTCAATCCAAGCTCAAGTCTGCATTTGGTTAAATTTGAACCTGTTTCTGCCAGGCACACTGCAGGAATTGATTTCCCACACTATGATCCACTGGGCCCAGGAGTCATTCATCCAGAACCCCGAGCTTGTGCGCATGATGTTCAGCCTGCTTCACAGACAGTACGATGGGCTCGGTGAGCTCATGCGCGCCCTCCCCAAAGCTTACACCATCAACGAAGTGTCCATTCAGGACACCATGGACCTGCTGGAGTGCTTGGGTCAGATCCGCTCYCTGCTTATTGTGCAGATGGGTCCAGAAGAGGAGAGGCTTATCATTCAAAGCATCGGGTGTGTGGCTATAAGATTTAGTTTATACTGAAGTTAAATCTCTGGGACTTACATTTACTGRAATCTTTGTCCCCTTCAGGAACATCATGAGTAACCGAGTTTTTTATCAGCACCCCAACCTGATGCGAGCTTTGGGCATGCACGAGACAGTGATGGAAGTCATGGTTAATGTGTTGGGCGGTGGAGACTCTAAGGTCAATAAATGACTTAAAATCCACTCAACTACGTTCTTAATCTTTAGTTGCAGCCTTTGTTTCATTTTAGCTGTAAGACAAATCTAATTTATTATTCAGCTGTAAAAATGAGTCATACTTTCTTTTTACAGGAAATCAGATTTCCTCGAGTGGTGACAAACTGTTGCCGTTTCCTCTGCTATTTCTGTCGCATCAGTCGTCAGAATCAACGCTCCATGTTTGACCACCTCAGCTACCTTCTCCAGAACAGCGGCATCGGCCTCGGTGATTATCTTTGTTCACTCCCGCCCTTCTTGAATGTTTATTTCTGAGGTGAACCGTGAAAAAGGCTGAACTTTGTGCGCTTTTGTTCAGGAATGCGTGGCTCTACCCCGCTGGATGTGGCTGCAGCTTCTTGCATTGATAACAACGAGCTGGCATTGGCTCTGCAGGAGCAAGATTTAGAAATGGTAGAATGCTGTTCCTGTCCACAACACAAACACTGCAGAGATTTATACATCACTCCACGACCCTTGTACCTTTTCAGGTGGTGAAATACTTGGCCGGATGTGGACTTCAAAGTTGCCCCATGCTACTGGCTAAAGGCTACCCTGATATTGGCTGGAATCCCTGTGGTGGAGAAAAGTATCTCGACTTTCTTCGTTTTGCTGTTTTTGTCAATGGTCAGGTTTTGTTTTTATGGTTCTCTTTCCTTCAAATGCCCACATTCTTTTTATTCATCATCTTTAACGGTGATGGTTTAAAACCTTTCTTTTTCCATTGTAGGAGAAAGTGTAGAAGAGAATGCCAATGTGGTAGTTCGTCTTCTAATTCGAAGACCTGAGTGCTTCGGCCCAGCTCTGAGAGGAGAAGGCGGTAATGGTCTGCTGGCTGCAATAGAGGAAGCKATCAAAATATCAGAGGACCCTGCGAGGGATGGTCCTAGTGTWAAGAAAGACAGACGTTTTCCCATGTAAGAGCCATTTGTTTTGAGTCGAAACCAGGCAAATCCTATTGAGATCAGAGATCTCTTTTGCAWGGGAGGTCTGAGCTTTWACTTAGTTTTCTGCAGTGACAAAGCTAAAACAGATGTTTGTTTGGAAGAATAGCTTGTAGAGCAGCAGAACTTTGTTTTACTGTAACATCCATTTTTGAAGGGATTGAAGGTAATATCTGAAGCAAAAAGCACAACAGTCTCCATCTTTTATTAAGCCACTTCAGTAGAAAGCAGTACTGAATATTAGTTTCTTAGTTTCTTCATCAGTGACATTTTTAAGAAGAAAAACAAAGAGAAGAAAAGGTGAAATGTAATGGGAAAGAGTGAAAGAGAGATTATGTGAGTATATGTGAAATAAYCATCAAGAAAACACAAGACAACACACCCGACTTCTTGGCTGCACACCTGCAGAAACAGAGAGAACAAAAGCACAGCAACAAAATAATAATGAATATAACCTTGCTGTATGTATGTGTAGATAGAGAGATATGGAGATAGAGATAGAGAAACAWATACATTCCCATACCTACATACATACAGTCTCCATCTTAAATGGAGCAAAGATGAGGCTATTAACTGAATGTTGGGGACTTCTTGACCTGGATGCATGTATGATCTGATTGTAAAGAGCTTTTTAGTTTGTGGTTTCTCCGAGGTGAGCAAATGTTACAGAAGACTAACTAGAACTTCCTTAATTAGGCGCTTATGAAAGGCAAAAGGAAGCCATTTCTCACCAAAAGCACACYGTAGCCATTTTAAAACTCTGACTTTTAAATACAACACTCACGAAACTGAATCAAACATAAAACACCTGGGGTCTGAAATAATCCTGCGTCACAGTACTACTAATTTAGTTTCAGAATAAAGGTTTACAGTGCTTCTTTAACTTGGAAGGTTTGGAGGAGAGGAGCAGCARGAGGAGAACAGGGTGCACCTGGGAAATGCCATCATGTCCTTCTACTCRGCCCTGATTGACTTGTTGGGCCGATGCGCTCCAGAGATGCATGTAAGCTGTTTGCYCAAACCTCTTCCAAACTAAATGTAGCTCACAGCTTTAGTATGATAGAAAAATAAAATATTTTTCTCTTCAGTTGATCCAAGCTGGTAAGGGCGAGGCTCTGAGGATCAGGGCAATTCTGAGGTCTCTGGTTCCTCTTGAGGATCTCGTAGGAGTCATCAGTCTTCCTGTTCAGATTCCTTGTTTTGGGAAAGGTAAACAAATAAWATATTTACATTTTTACATAACTGTATGCTTCTGGTTGTATTTTGTTGCTGATCTTTTTTTCTTAAATATTTTTTTCTTTATGTTTTGCTTAGACAACAGCATCATCGAGCCTAAGATGTCCGCCAGTTTTGTGCCAGATCACAAGGCTCCGATGGTGCTGTTCCTCGACAGAGTTTATGGGATCGACAACCAAGACTTCCTGCTCCACGTGCTGGAGGTGGGCTTTTTACCAGACATGAGAGCCGCTGCTTCTCTGGACACAGTAAGTCACGACCATTTTACACAATTTCAGCGAAAAGTACGAGAAAAATGCAAAGTTGGCAGTAAGTTCACATTGAACTTTGTTTCCAACAGGCTGCTTTCAGCACCACAGAAATGGCTCTGGCTTTGAACCGCTACCTGTGTTCCGCTGTGCTGCCACTCATCACCAAATGCGCCCCGCTCTTTGCTGGCAGTGACCACCGAGCCATAATGATRGACTCCATGCTGCACACCATCTACAGACTGTCTCGAGGACGAGCCTTCACAAAAGCTCAAAGAGACATTATTGAAGAGTGCCTCATGGCTTTGTGCAAGTGAGATTAGCATCATAGCAGTGTCCTTTTATTTAACGCACCAGATTTGTTGCTGGCATCAGCATTGATTGTTTGTTTCTTTCAGATATCTCCGTCCATCCATGCTTCAGCACTTGTTAAGACGGCTGGTGTTTGATGTCCCCATTCTCAATGAATATGCAAAAAGGCCACTGAAGGTTTTTGGACCTTTCATTCCATTCATTTCAGCACTCACTTTATGTTTTTCTGACTTTGATTGTTTTGCATTCTGCAGCTTTTGACCAGTCACTARGAGCGTTGTTGGAAATATTATTGCCTTCCAAATGGTTGGGCCAACTTTGGAGTTGCCTCCGAAGAGGAGCTTCATTTGACRCGCAAGCTTTTCTGGGGGATATTTGAATCACTCGCACACAAGGTGGTCACCCTGGAGCCTGGTTTACTTAAACCCGAACGAGTGATCTGTGAGCACGTTATCATTTAGTTTTGGTGTTGTGATTTCAGAAATTTGACGCCGAAATTTTTAAGATTTCAATGCCATGCCTCTGTGCCATTGCCGGAGCCATTCCTCCAGATTATGTAGATGCCAGCTACTCATCGAAAACGGAGAAAAAGGCTTCAGTAGACGCAGAGGGCAACTTTGATCCCAAACCAATAGACACCACAAAGTAACAACATTATCTTTATTACTTTTTTTAAGACATGAAGCATTCTGTTGTTTAAAATTTCAAACTAAACCTACTTTAATTCTTCTTCCAACAACAGCACCATTATCCCTGAGAGACTGGATCCCTTTATCAACAGATATGCTGAGTATACACATGATAAATGGGCCTTTGAAAAGGTAGGACATATTTAAAAAGCATTTAGAATGAAAAAAGAGGGCATCTGGGCATATGCTAGTACTAACAAATGTGTATATATTTGTTGTGAGATCCTCAGTGAACATATCTTGTAATAAAAAAGCCATTAGAACATCTATAGAATAGCTAATATTGAATTTCTGCTTATTCCTGAGAAAGTTRTTTTTTCTGTTGCTTTAGCTCAGTTTGGTTGTAAAAGTACAGGATTTATAACRTCAAAAAGTCACAGACACCACTGTAAAAGTCTCATGTGATGCATGTTTCAGATTCAGAACAACTGGTCGTACGGTGAGGTGCTGGATGAGAACGCAAAAACCCATCCGATGCTCAGACCATACAAAACCTTCTCAGAGAAGGTGAGCTCAAAGATGCACAACGTTGTCCGTGMCCACGCAGTTTTATTACTCGACTCMCYATTTATTCGACTCAAATTTCTCTTTAAGGACAAAGAGATCTACCGTTGGCCAATTAAAGAGTCAATCAAAGCCATGCTGGCGTGGGAATGGAACATAGAAAAAGCAAGAGAGGAAGAGGAGTCGGAGAAAAAGAAGGCAGCGTCTAGAAAGATTTCTCAGACTGCTCAGGTGGGATGGTTTTACTGTTACTTAACAGCAGAGTTCTTTGTTATACAGGAAATAATACTCTTTCTGRTTTAGGCAACTTATGATCCAAGTCATGGCTACAGTCCACAGCCTATTGATATCTCACACATGGCTTTGTCAAGAGATCTGCAGGTAGAGTTGTTTATTTTTCTCTGATAAAATCCTAAAATCAAATCAGTARTCACAGTTCGACCCTTTCACAGTCGATGGCGGAGCAGCTGGCCGAAAATTACCACAACACCTGGGGGCGCAAGAAAAAGATAGAGCTTCAATCTAAAGGTGAGATTTTTGGATCAAGAGGAGAAAATGTGGGGGACCTTCATTTGGCTTTTCCCAGCAGTTTTGGTTTATTCTGTGCAGGAGGTGGAACCCATCCTCTGCTGGTGCCCTACGATACTTTGACAGCGAAGGAGAAGGCGCGAGACAGAGAGAAGGCCTATGAGCTGCTCAAGTTCCTGCAGCTTAACGGATATGCAGTCACAAGGTAGGTAGTAATACAGAAATACAACTTATATAGAGCAGAAAATTGCATTTWGTGCAATATAATAACWGTGTAGCCTCCCTATTTTAATCAAWATAAAATTAGACCATACCAGAAAGACTCAAGTTTGTGTTCAAATCAGGCGTTTGAAGTGTTTTAAGGTTTATAACCGGTTTGTTGCCTTCAACTGTATGAATTTGGCAAACAAGAGTTTCTTTTTTGCTGCTATAATTATGTTTTATAACAACCTATACTGTAAAAGGGAAATGCTTATTTAAATTCAAGACAGTGTTAAAATTTCAACTCTGTCCTCAGGGGCCTGAAGGACATGGAGTCTGAGATATCGTCCATTGAGAAAAGATTTGCTTACGGTTTTCTGCAAAAGCTGCTGAAGTGGATGGAAATCGCCCAAGAATTCATCGCTCATCTCGGTACTGTTGGTGCAAAAACAAAAAGCAAAMAGTGTAACATCTTATATGTTTGTGTTGGTGCAAAAATGGATAAAAAKCCCTTTACCGTGTTTTAGCTGCCGTGATGTGATTCTCGTATTTTCTGCGACGTGTTTTGCAGAGGCTGTGGTAAGCAGCGGACGAGTGGAAAAGTCTCCTCATGAGCAGGAAATCAAATTTTTTGCGAAGGTAAAACTGAAGCAGCAGTTTTTGAAGACCACACTCAACATATTTGCTGTACTAAATCTAGAAACACTTTCACTCTCATAGATCTTGATGCCTTTAATCAATCAGTATTTCAAAAATCACTGCCTCTACTTCTTATCGACACCTGCTAAAGTTCTGGGCAGTGGCGGGCATTCTTCAAACAAGGAGAAGGAGATGATTGCAAGGTGGGTTCCTTCTAGCACAGCTGCAGTCTGCTTTTTTGTGTTTARATAAAATCCTGTATGATCACYTCTTTATAAGAGTCTCTCTTTTCTTTCCTTTTGAAAAATTTCTTTCTCATCAGTATCTTCTGTAAAATGTCTGCTCTGGTGAGGCACAGAGTTTCTCTCTTTGGTAAGATGTCCGTTTCTCTGTCTCTGTTCTCTGTTTACTTCACATCTTCTTGATCACATCTAACTCACGTTCTCTAACCTTGCTAGCTCAGGAATCCCTCGGTCAAGACCAAACAAAGCTTT